GAACAAAGGCAGGAAGGAAATGGTAAATAAAATTCAGTTTCCTTATAACCTGCAGCCCATTGACAAATACTTGAGGCAAATTCAGAGTGAAACATTTCTCCCGGAACTTCCTACTGTCTTAATGTTAATGCCTTACTAGAGGAAACACAACCTCAGCCTGACAATAGCAAGGCCTCTGGTATCTTAAGAGTCCTCTTTGGGGGGCCCTGGGGAGCTCAGTCGGTTGGGCAAGTCACCTCTTGGTTTCAGCTCAGGTCATGACCTCATAGCTCATGAGTTCAAGCCCCCCATGGGGCTCTGCACTGACAGCTCAGAATAACCTGCTTGGGTTTCTCTCTCTCTCTCTCTCTCCAAATTAAAAAACAAAAAAGCCCTCGTTAGCCTGTGAAAGTCCTTTTAAAGGACTCTCTTTTGCCTTTACCTCCCCCCACTCCATAGTATATAATCAGTCACTCCTCACAACCCCAGTGTGGGCTCTTTCTGCCCGCGGGTCCTGTCCCTGTGCTTTAATGAGGTCACCTTTCTGCACCAAAGACGTCTTCAAGAGTTCTTTCTTGGCCGTTCAGCTCCGGACGCTCACCACTCCAAAAAGCACATCACCTCCGCCACCGGACTGGGTGAGCTCCTAAAAGCAAAGCCCACGCACGTGTCCTTATCACTGTCACTGCGAGGGCCTGGCACACAGTAGTTATGCAGTAAATGTGAAATGTGAGCTGAGTGGAGACTGTGAACTAGAAGCTCAGTGTCCTCCCTTCCCCGTTGCCCCCATTCCACATGAAAGAAACCAGAGCCCAGAGAGGCCTGTTCGCAGGGCAGGGTCACAAAGCAGCCGCTGACCACTGGGAGATTCCTGCTGGAGCCGGAACCCCACAGATTTGCAAGACTGACTTCTCAGGGCCCCGCTGAGTCACAGCCAGTGAGGGAAAAAAGGGGGCTATCAGGGAGTAAGAATTTCCTGCCCCCTTCTACATCTTTCTAGCCAGACTAAGAATCAAACTGACACGAGACAGAGTAACAAGAGAACATAAAGTTTAATTTCATACATATGGGGAATCCACACAGGGAAATTCCAAAGCCAGGCAAAATCAGGTATCTATGTCATTCTATGCCTTTTTTTTTTTAAGTTTGTTTATTTATTTGAGAGAGAGAGGGAGAGCGGGGAGGTGGACAGAGAGAGAGAGTTTCCAGCCGGCTCTGCGCTGTCAAAACGGAGCCTGACTCTGGGCTCGAACTCGCGAACCCGTGAGATTACAACCTGAGCTGGGTTGGACCCTTAACTGACTGAGTTAAGACGCAATCAAGAGTTGGAGTCTTAACTGATTGAGCCACCCTGGCGTCCCGGGTATAGAAGTCGTTCTTTTTTTTTTGTTGTTTTTTTAACATTTATTTTTGAGACAGAGAGAGACAAAGCATGAACAGGGGAGGGTCAGAGAGAGAGGGAGACACAGAATCTGAAACAGGCTCCAGTCTCTGAGCTGTCAGCACAGAGCCCGACGCGGGGCTCGAACTCACAGACCGCAAGATCATGACCTGAGCTGAAGTCGGCTGCTTTACCGACTGAGCCACCCAGGTGCCCCTAGAAGTCATTCTGAACTGAAGAGAGGAGGAGGGTAGGGGTCTGGGACTTCAAAGGGAAGGAACACAAGTCACAGGAAGATGAAAAAGAGTGAACGTTTAGTAAACAAATATGTGCTGGGCTGCCGGGGTCCAGCCCCAGCAGGTGCAGGGGTTCCCGAAGGATGAACGGCGTCGGCGAAAATAACAAATGGATGCAGACAACAGCAGCGTGTTAAGACTGGCCGCTTTATTGTGGCGAACGTGGCATTATGTTTGTTAGCGATTTCCGTGTAGCGCGCGTTCTCTGTTTCTCGGCGTGACCTAATTCTAGAAACGTCCCTTTGTGCAATCACCCGTTAAGGAACGTCATGATTATTTTCCTGTAACGTTCCCTCCTGCCCTTTGCTTATTGGTTGATTTCTTCATACTGCTTTCATTATGTATCTTCGCTTATCTACGGTCTCTAAAGCATTTGCTTTGCCGTTTTCACGAAAGGTCATCTAGCTCTCGACACTCAGAGGTCATTTAGCGCCTCAAATGGAGCGTTTACAAGGACATGACTTCTTGATTGTTCTTTTGAACCATTTGCGGTACAAGGAACGGAAGTATTCGCTTTGGTCTGGGGTGCCGGGAGGGAGCCAAGAGGGCCCTGGGAACCCACGCCTTATGCGCTCCCAGAGAGACAACGGATACCTAGGAACTAATGAACCATTCTGTACCTCAACCCACCAGGTCCTTCTATCACCTGGAATGCCTCCTGGGGGCCAAGTGGGCCTAGGGGTTGGAGTAACTTGTATCCACGGATACATTCCTTTGTCGCCGGAGTGGGGATTTCGAACCCATTTGTCCCCCTCCTCGGCTGGGAAATGTAGGAGGCTGTCCTTCCTTTAGGCAGAGGAGTCTTTATAGGGGGTGGCAAGGGCTGCATGTGGGGCAGCATAATTTCCCTGCGGAATCTTGTTTCTTTCCCCAATGGTTCTCTTCCCGGGGGGAAGGGGGGGCGTGTCGCGGGCAATTCCCCAACCGACAAATCCCCAGGTACTTTCATTGGTGGGGGACAAGAAGCTTCACTGTCCGTGGGCCGCCGTGCAGTCCCGATCCGTCCACCGATCCGTCCACCGCCCGGGCCCTGCC